GGCCAGTCGTAGGAAGCTAAATTAGCCGAGGACGCTCCGGCCATCGGACAGGCCCCCAAATGGATTGCAGAATTAATCGGAGTAATTAGCGTTCCGCTTCAAATACTACCCTGGTGCCACCGTACGTGGCCAAACTGCCAAACCTGCGTAGCCTACTACCGACCTTCTGTACCTTTTGCTCCCTTTTCCCCTAGCCACGAGGTATCGCGATTATAAGGGTTCCTCGCTTTGTTGTGAGGATCGATAAAGAGGCGATGGAGCGAAGAATACGATTTAAGTTGGAAAACAAGGCAAGAGGAAGAAAGAAAAAGTTGGAGAAAGAAGAGAAGAATTTGACAACGTTGAACTGGTTGAATATGTACACATATGGCATGGATGTTCATTAAAAAAAATAAAGATTAAGATTTTGCAGAAGGCAACAGAGAATAGGAAATCTAGGCTATCTTGGAAGAAAATAAGCAAGAAATCTATGTTGATATAGATATAACATACATGTTATTTAATTTTAATATAAACTATTTGTTACATGATACTTATAAAGAATTGCATTATAAAATTGAAATTGGATTTTTCTAACAAAATATTTTATATTAAAATTTTCTTAAAAATTAATATTATTCTTGTAACAATCTAATAGTATATTCATTAATTAAAAAATATCTTATATCTTTGTTCTAAAACATTCTGTATACAAAAGAAACGCTCTCTCCAGAGAAAGGGATAGACAGGTGGTAAATAAAGAATAAAAAAGAAAATAGAAAGGGGTGGCACGCTGGAGAGATCTCACGAAACGAAATCTCGACTCCTGTCCGGTAGCTAAGTGCTACCTACTCTTGTAATTATAAATTATTACGTGGCGCGTGATAGATAGACCGTATGCATTAAATGAAAGCACTCGTCCCGGTAATTATACTGATCCGTAGTTGCTTTCTGATTTCCACCTGAAACCCGTGATTTACATCCAACCACGCCGTATTCACCGCACGTCCACGTCGACGAGGGTTTAATTCGTGAAAGGACCAGGACTCGAATCGATCTTTCGTTAATTCCTCTATACAATTTTCATTCATTTTTAATCTTGTCACCTACGTTATCTTCCATTTGATCCATCTTTAACTTCTTCAGAAACAAATTTATCGAAAAAGGATAATTATTACTTTACTTTTTTTTTTACATTTATAGAAATATTGGTTATACCTCTCGTGTTATAAGAAAGACTATACATGTTAATTATAGTTTGTTGCCCATTTTCGTTCAGGATATTTCGAGAACATTTCTTAATATTATTTAGATTATTTATGAATTATCGCTTCAGTTTCTTGTAAAATCGAAAGCATTGTGCGAAAATAAATTGTGGAAAGTTACTTTTTCTACGAGTTTATCTCATCAATTTATTAAAATTATAAATATCAAGTTAAACATCGATTCGAGTGCAACTAAGTTATTCGAAAATGTAAATCTTTTTCTCTATATTCTTCGATATAAATTTTTTATTATCTTTCTTTTATTAAAATTTTCTTGAAAAGCTTAGACTCGTTATAATAGTCACTTTATATGCAAGACTTTATACAACTTTTTACCCCATGTTTACGCATCGTATAACTAGAACATCTTCGAGCGTACAAATTAACAGGCAGAAACTTGTTCTCAATGTATGGGTCCTCGTGCAAAAACTTGCTCGATATAACCTAACTTAATCACGTAAAACGAAAACGAAATTAACCATTTGATTACCATTTTAGCGATGAAACGACGCGTCACCACTATTACCTGCAACTGCGCGACAATGTCGTCAGGCATGGCGGTGGGGTGGAGAGCCTCCATCCTCACCATCCCTTGCATGAACCTTCTATCGTTACGCCCCTGCTCACACTCGCGGGTCTCGCCCTACAAGCCGATCTTGGGGACTATTCCGAGGAACGACATAGACCCCACGCAGGACCTGTGGGATATTGCAAACCTACGGATTACCTTCCGCCTCACGTGAGTTTTTAATCAGATTTTACTATTGAACAATATTAAATTGAACATCTGTTACTATACTATCTTTAATTAAAATTTTCCATCTAATATTTTGAAATACATATCTAAGAAAATTCAAGTTTTATCATTTTTGTGTTATTCCTCTTGGGATGAGTAAATTAATCTATTTTTAGATCTCTGCAAAATGAATGAACTTGAAAGTGAACTTTTTAATTTTAAACTTAAAATATTTTATATATTTGGAAAATGAGTAAATTCTAAATTTTAATTAAGGAGAGTAGTATAATTTATATTTTTTTCATAACTGATTAATTCTTGTATAATATCTAATTAAATATCTAAATTAAAAAATTTAAATATCTAATTAAAAATAATCGTATCTTCCATAATTTAGAAGATAATAATTTTTGACAATTTATACAACATGTTATATATTATTTAATAATTAATTAAATTACTGTATACGCAATATCGAACATTAAGTCTCATTTCATTTTATTTCAATTTTATTTAAACATAAATTTTCAATTTCTCGTAGAAAACGTATTTTTTTAAAATTTACTCGCTGGAATGAAGATCTATTCTCGACGTTGGTATTAAGATAAAATAAAATATTACAAATCGAACACTTCAATTCCTAAATACACGTCTACGTACATGATCGTAGGTGGCGAGGAACGCAATTTGATCATAAATCGTATCTGTTGAATTCGCTATTTAACGCAATCAATAATTACGTTTACCAGATGTGCCTCGAGTCGAATGTGCTCGCCGTGCTCGCGGCACAGCACAGGGACAATCGGGGCCTCTCGAGGGAGGAGGCAGAGTTGCAATACATTCGGGAGGCGGTGCTGCTGGAGGCGCCGCTCAACGCTCACCTCTATCGGTTACGAAGAAGCAAGAACGAGGCAGGTCCTGGACGTATACTCCTCGCGATTTGCGCTCGTGGGGTGCGAGTCTACGCCGAGGAGGAGACACCGCGTGTCTTTGCCTGGAACAATATCGGCAAACTTTGCTTCGACGTTAGTTTTGCCATTCTTTCTTTAAATATCACAGCTCAAGCTGATATTGCTTTTCCAATTTTTGTTATTAATCTATATATAAATTGATTTATGACGAAATTCTTCTGTTTTATTGCGTTTATACACAGCGCAAGAAGTTTGAGATACGCGCAGTCGATCAGCCGGACAAGCTCACCCTCTATAGTGGGTGCGATGACAAAAGCAAATTGCTTCTGGGACTCTGTCGAGACACCCATCAGTTCTCCATGGCCATAGCACCTAGAGTAAATGAAGCGAAGAAGCGAGAAGAGGAAGGTTAGTTGAAATTTATTTATTGCTTAAAATGACTAATTTTTATAATAATTTATCTATAATTATAATACGAATTTTCTTTTTATATTTACCATGTATCATCTTTTTTGTATCCTCTTTATGTTTAAATTCTCTCTTCTTCTTTGTTACTTAATTTCAAAAATGAAATCCGTTTAATATTCTATCCAAAAAATAAATTTTCTGTTTTCATCTTCAGAGAGAAAAGTACTTCGCGACTGCTATATGTATCCTGCGCGATGTAAGCTGAGTTTAACAGCACGAGGGGCGCGCGGTGACCAACGAATTTCTGTTATCTCGAGCACATCGTCTAACACAACTTCTGGAATTGTTAGCGATCGAGTTCATAGCGAGGACGAGCCAGATACGGCGCCCGCTTCGACCGAATGTCTGCCACGTCTTACTGAAAATACTTCACACTCCGGTGTTCAATGCGGTGTAAATGGATCGAATGCAGACGTCGAGGATCGTTCCATGCCGTCATCCCCAGTCTCCACTGTGGATGGTAAACTTGTTTCTATTCTGAAAATAATTAGTATTATTTTTGTATTTGTCATGTAATTATTAATTAAGATTAGATGATGATAACCAATTTTTTAAGCAAATCTTGAAAACTAAAAAATCAATAATAAAATTCTATTTTATTTACCGTTAATATAAAATAACTAGTACAAAACCATGATTTTTAGTCATGTAATCTTATAAATAATCGTGTAATTTTTAGAAGTTGATGGTACGGACAGCACTCCTACAACAGTTGCGTTACGATTAGCATCGAGTGCAGCTACGGCGGCCGAAGGGTCACAATGTAGCAGCAGCTGCAGTACGGTCGTGGTTGTGAATACACCTGCTGGTGGACCGCCACGAATGCGGCGCACATCCGCGACTTCCAGTTTGGAGCTTGGTTATTCGCATACGGCACAGAATTCAGCAGTTTCGTCAGAAACTGCTAGCTTTCCTGGCGCCATTTACGACAGGTGCAAGAAAGGTGGTAAATACGCAGGTAAGTTAATGAGTTTTCTGTTTTTGTTGAAAAAAAAATAATATACAATTTAAGATGGAAAGATATAATGAAATCTAAATTAAAAGGATTAAAAAAGAAATAAAAAAACAATGATATATTTATAATTGTAATATTTTACTAATTTTTTATATATTGTTTAAAAATATAAATAATCTTTGATTTTTGATTTAATAATTCTGTTTTATAACTTATTTATTAATTAAGAAAACATTTAGCAAGATTATCTTTAAAATCTGATTCTTACTTTTATTATAAAATATACAAAAAGAAAAATATAGAATAGTCAATCATTGAATTATTATTAAATTTAAATATATATATTAAAATATACTTGTTTATTATGAATTCACTTTTAATTAATATTATTTATATGAAATTCTTTTTTAGGCACTGATATTGCGAGTGAAACTAGTGGAGTGTATACACTCAGGAGTAGTGAAATGCAAGATGAAAGAATGGGAGATCTATATTCACCTACTGGTGATGTCAATGGATCTTCGACAGCGAGTGACGTGTGTGCCTTAAGTTCCGTACAGTCTACAACCGATGAAGCTTCCGTAACATCCGGTTTTTATACCATACACAGTGGTCTTAGATCTGAAACTAGCGACGTTTATACGGAAGATGTGAGTACAGAAGATCAAGAACCTATTTACAGCGTCTGTAAAGGTGATGAAGATGTCAATAACATGATGTCTACAATCTCGGCAGTCCCTTTGGATCAACAACTCGAAGATTCTAGATCACGTAGCAATAGTATACTTAGTGCAGGAAGCTTCAGAGGTGACGGCAGTGATCCTTCTAGTGTTGGACCTCTGTTATCAGCCGATGAACTTTCTGACTTGATTGTTGGACGTTATCCCCCTCGAAAAACTATTAGCAATTCTATGGACTCTGATTGCGATTACGTTACTATGCCTCCACCACCTCCACCACCTAGGACCGATAGCGACAGACAACTTCCTCCACCTCCTCCTTACCCAGTGAACATGGATTATGCAACAATAAATTCACCACGGTCGAACATACCCGATATTGAAAGAGAACCTCCACCTCCACCTCCATATAATGCTACTCGCGGTGAATTTATACCTTTGCCACCACGAAGAACTGATCCACCACCACCGCCACCATATACTTCACCAAGAGAAAGAATTCAAATACCACCGCCTACACCTCCAAGAAACGATGCGGTGACACCTAGAGAACCTCCACCTCCACCACCTTATCCTGAAGTTCCGGAGGTCACTCGACAAGAAGCAATTTCCAAATTGTATCCAAGTGAAGAAATCGTGTCAAGGGTAACATCGACGAAAATACAAACGGGTCTAACAAATACCAAAATGAATGCCACTTTGACAGCTTCAAAGACTACCAACACCATTCAAACAAACGACATTGCGTCAATCGCTCCGAAACCACCACCTAGAATTCAACCACCCACTTATCCTGGTGACAAAATGAAACCCACGCCGGTTCATGCTCCCGTCGCAGCTCTTGTTGTTGGACCAAACAATTATTTGGATGTTCACGCTTCACGGGGTGGTCCAGTTTTGTTACCTTATTTAACACCACCGCCACCTCCGCCACCTCCTCCACCACCCATGATACATCCTAGACAGCCCCCGCCTCCACCACCCAGCTTAGCTACGGTTTACACGAGTCAAGTTGCGAGATCGCAGATCGAACAATATAAACAACAATTATATTCAGACGTTGATTACGTAATGTTTCCTTTAAAAGATCCCGCAGTATCGAAACAAGAGTACATTGACGCAAAGCAAGGATCACTTTTGGCAGCCATGGCTGCTTATCCTCCTCCTCCTTATCCTTCGTTTAATAATAAATCATTGGTAATGTATCGTAGCACACCATACCTTCCTGGTTCCTCGTTTTCATCACCCACAAAATACGCTTCAAATCAAAATCTCAGTAGCAGCGACACGAGCTCTAATAATTATTTACCGCATAGTAACCTGAGTAGCCACTATGCTGCTAGTACAAGTTCGTTATATAGTGGAGCTACTTGTTCATCGGCAGGAAGTCAAAGTCTTAGACGTGAACCATCAGCCGCAGCTCATACTCATACGCTCCACGCTTTCTCCAGAACAAGAAGCGACGAGAACATATTAAAGTGTTTCGATTCATCTACTAATACAAAACTGCAATCTCTGCCGCAATTGAAACATCGCAGACTTCCGCCACCTCCACCGCCACCACCTTACGAAATTCAGGTAAACTAAACGTCATATAATAATATATAAAAATTATATAAAAGGATGTTGCTATATATTATATCTGCATAACGCCATATTTGGTATTTATACCAAGTATTTTATTTTTTACTGTTTTATTTGTTTTCAGAATCTTGAAAAGAATCAACCACTTCCGTCCGCTTCTTCGTCGTCTTCTTCACCGAAGAAGACGTTAAAAACAAATACTGTGGAGGAACGTGAAGAAGGGAAAGAAGACGGAATGTTGGATATTCGAACACTTCGCGAGAAAAGCCGTAATTTAGATTTACCACTAATATCAGCGTTATGTAATGATCGATATCTATTAAAACAAACGAAAGCATTCGTTATGCCCAAGCATCCTGCTGAGCCGACTTCCTCGACGTCTTCAAAGAACGGCACGCGAAGCAGCAATGGCGGAACATCTAGTAGAAATAAATATCCAGTTAGTGGTCTTTCTACAACGCAAATCACTAAACCCCCGAGGAAATCATCGACGAGTACTCACAAACACCCCGCCGAGGTGAAGGGCAATGCTTATAAGATCACGAATTCGACAGGTGTGTCGGCTATTAAAAAGGATCCGACAAGGGCGTCACATTCGTAATAGACAATAAAGAAAAAGAAATAGAGTTTATCAGTTTTGCGACGCTATGAAAATTTTATACCTCGATCAAAGTACATTCCACAAAGCTGTTCAAACGATTCCATAACTGTTATACTCTATCCATAAAATAACAGATAGCAGCGAAGAAAAGGTCTTAACACCTTAAGTACTTAAATAGCGTTTCTAAATAAACCGTGCTTCTTCAACTCAGGGTGCCATTTTATCGTTTACAATTCTTTTGCTCGTCGCAAATACTCAAGGAAGAAAAAGAAGTTCGATGATAGATTAAACCTTCACAAAGTTTAAAACAGAAATGTCGAAGGTGACTGTTACGTAATATCTTTTTTCTTAAATAATTTCGTTCTTATGATCTCTCTGATACTTCTGAAAATTGTATTTCTTCTTTGCAAACAAAGCTTTTCTTTCGTACGTAGAATAGTTGAAATACACCGATAATAAAAATGTTTATTAACTTTTTTATTTTTGCTCAAGTAAGCGATTAGCGCGAAGTGAAAAAATTAAATGCGAAGTTTTGTAAATCTTGATAACGACAAAGCGTGACAAACGCACTTGCGTATAGTTATTTGATATTAGGACAACAATTTGTGTAAGTAATTACACAGATATTTTTATACTTTGAATGAAAGCAAATATGAGTATTGTAACTATTGAAATAGTACCTTTTTTGATGTCTACGAAAATAATATTTATTACAATCCAGAAGATTCTTGTCTTTGTTTTTTTTTCTATATTTTCTTTTTTTTTTGTTTTTTTTTTGTTTTTTTTTTTTTTTTTTTTTTTTTTTTTTTTT